ACGGCGAGTCCTTGAACTCAAACACTCTCCCTGGTGCCTCTCCTGCCAGAGGCTGGTTGTAACACTTGTTGTCAAAGTTACAGATCAGAGTCTGCATGAAGGGGATAAGTCCGGCTGATGGCAGGGCCTTACTGGGGTAATGACCTACATGTAGGAAGGAGGACAAAATATCAACAATTCTCTCTATCAGGGCATGCCAATTTAATTTGTTGGCTCTCGGAGCAAAATGAAACAGTGAGAAAGACTTAAGAAATGGAACAATGTTTAATCAGTTGAAATATAAAATACAACTAGGGATTAAAAGTGCTATTGCCAGTATTGGTGTATACAGTTGAAAAGTCTTATTTGTCAATACGTTTGCATTGTATATATGCTGGCAATCTCTGTGGTATTTTCTGTATCAGAGGGAAGCTCTCTCTGTGAACGTCTTGCTGTGTTTGTCCCATGCAGATACAGGCATGGAGAGGTTGTAAAAGGGTCATCCTTGCCAATTCTTATGTTGGAGTTAGGCAAGAGGCAGAGCAGAAACACGTTTCTGAGCAGTTCAAACACGTTTCTAAAAAGATTGCCTCTCCTCGTGCCCTTGTCCAGTGCGACTTTCTGCAGATCCTTGGGTGGAGTGTTGGACCCTCTCTGGTCAATGGATACCACCTGGTCAATTTGATACTGTCTTACAGTGTATGCCACCCTAGGATCTGCTTGGACACTGGGCGAAAAGGCCTCGGATGCAGCCGGATCCCAAGGATCCCAATTTGCATCACCTTACGGATGCTGCGCAGATCCCCAAGAATCCCAAAGATTGCTGATCCCACACCAAGAATCCCCAGAATTGCAGATCCCACACACATCCGTAACGCATACGTATGCATCCGTGCCTCACAGCGGATGCAGATGCGACATTCGTAAGGATACTTACTTCGCAGCGGATGCAGACACGGTATCCGTATGGATACTTACTGGTTACGTATACTTAAGAAATAATACGTTGTTAGGATAGCAACATGCCACATCTTTAGGGGTCATATCCTGCCATATTTTTGTACCTCGGATACCACCGTTTGTAAGATAAATGTGTGAGATACTCCATTATACACTGGATACAAGGATACTTGTATTCCTGGTTTTTTTTATCCCACTCCACAGCAGAAGCGAATTGTGGGTAATCTGGGGATTTCTTGAATATCCAAATTTGCTTTCTTACGCTTTCGCTTGCCCACTCCACAG